GGAGAGACGCCAAATCAAAATTTGTATTGCTGAAATGGTAACAAGTCTATATGTATTCGACTTTTAAGGAATCAAGTTATAACTTTGATATTGTCCAGATCACTCACTTAAGATTTGATTTGCAATGCAAATAGTTAAACCATGAACGATAGTTCTTAAAAATTTTCTCCATCAAATGCTGTACAGTGCCACTATTCAACTGCAATAAGCTTTCTGTTAATCTTTAATGATCACATCAGATACAGTCTTGAAAATTGAGAGCATATAAAATTCAAAGCAAAGGAGAAAACACAAAGCACCTCAAAGGAACATCGATTTACCTGTGTGTAATTTTCAAGATTTCTATGTCTTACATCCATGTTGGCAAGTAGCAAGATTAAGTGTTCCCTCTGATTTGCCACATTTCCTTTCTTCAAACCCCAGAAAAGATAAGACAACGTAGTAAGAACATGTCTATGCTTATGTATATATGTGTATCTAGCAGTAGTCTATTGCATCAAAGAATCATTGTGCATGTGAGGTGCAAGGACAAGATTCGCATCACTTCAAAGAATGATATCTACTTAATGAAGATTGAGAGGACAGCCAAAATGCACATTTCCCACTGCTCCAAATCCTCCCTTATAAAACTTCTGGTTCCCAATGGATATAAGTAAAATAGCAGTACTATTGTGATCAACTTGAGGCAGGGACGACAGGACCACATGGAGTTAACTCACAGTTATTAGGCAGTGAGGTAGGAATAGGACAAGAGTCTTCATATGAAACAAAACACCAATATCAAATCCATCACATAACATTTAAAAGTAGCACCTTGACATTTATTGTGCTGCAATTATTGTCTTTTAAATTCAATAAGTTGTAGATTCAAATGGAAACATGCCTATTCAAGTCATTCCTATCTTGACCAAGTAGAAAGGCAAGAGAAAACTCAAGGGAAATGGCAAAAGGATAAAGAAATAAGGGCTCGCTGTTTTTTTTTCTTCAATGTCTTGATTTTTTTTTTTTTTTTGTTTTTTGTTTTTTGTTTTTTGTGTGTGTAAAGGTACATTGAATTGAAGAGGTCTAAATACATTATTAGAATCATATTCTCTCAACCTTCAGGAAAAAAAAAACTCGGTATTGACTCTTGTCATGAGAAAACCATGGTTATTTTCCTTAATTTTTGTATCTGTCCATTATTGCCTTTTTCAATTACCTTGCCATTCTTTCATTAGATGGCATTAGATTATTCATTGTTATTGACCTACATTAATTGCCACATCCGAGTCAAATTAAGCTCCACCCCCAGTTGCGGGCCAGTGGTAAAAGTAGCCAGTCCACAAATCAAGAAAAATCCTTTTAGAAACTTAAACATGCCTATACAGTTGGACAGGTTTAGGGTTAGCATACCAATACAATTTTCAGACATGTGGCATATAAAAACCAAGGTAAAATGAAAGAGAAAGGTATTTAGGCACAAGTTACCTGAAACCCAAAGATAGAGGAAAGCCAATCGAGTATATCATTGACAGGTTTAATCCTCTCGGTAGGCATTGTTGACTTGTCATCAGGATTCATGGGTTTTAAATGCATTATTGGCATTGGAAGACCATTCACATTTTGTAGAGCATGAAGTGCTGCTTTGATCTAAATATTTCCAGAAAAAATAAAAGGGTAAAGCAATGAGCAAGAGAGAAAAATAAGATTTCATAAAACTAAAGCAGAGATAAATGAAAATCACATATACTACGCATGTACAACCTCAGGCAGTTCCATAATTGCTGGTTTAACACCAACAGTATATAACGGAAGAATGTTATAGTTTACATACTGCTCCCTTTTCCTCTTGACATCTTCAGCAATTTTCTGTGTCTGCAATGAAAAAAACAATAGAATAGCCATGTTTTCAGTGCCTTCTCTATCAATCTGTCACTTAAGAACTTGAGCAATCCTTGAATCACACAAATCAAACCTGTAGATCAATTTGAGATTGAGGTACCACTGTCTTGAGCACGTCATATAGTACTGTTGCAATCTGAATAATCCTAGCCATCTCTTCCCTTCAATATATAAGAGACAATGAGTAATTCAATAGTAAAAGAAAGGTAACATACCAACAATTCAAAAACAAGCCTTACGGTTTTTTTGTGTATTCTCCTTCTTGGATATTGTTCCGATAAAATTGGTGGTAAAAATACAGGATTTCTTTTGTATCAGATTTAGCAAGCTGATGTCTTGTCTCTTCTTCTTCCTGCAACGAAAAGAATTTTAAGAGATACAGAGAAACTTCAATTCACTTTCAGGCGCTCTTAAATACAATAGAAATCAGTCATGATATTGAATTAGTATTACCCTAGAATATTATTTATAGGTCTAGAGATTATCTTTCGATTCAGTCTATGACTTGATTTGCACATTTCATTCTAACGTTAAATGTTACCATTTTATAAAAAAAACTAATTGTATAAATTGTTAGCTTGATAAGCATTGTTGGCTTATTTCCTAACAACTTAAATTCTTGGGGTCCAATTGTTGTCTATAATGGTATCAGAGCTCTAATTGCAGGAGGTATTGAGTTTGAAACTTCTTATCATGGAAGGAAAAGGATAAAAGGAGATGAGGGGAAGAAATAAAATAATTTACAGATAAAATCACAAGTGAACTAATCATACACACACCACAAGAAATATAAATTAAGTTCCAAAATCAGACCACTCTTCTGGAAAAATAAAATAAAATACAAGAAACCACAAATAATTTAAAAGTCTACCTTTTCAAGTCTGTGCAAAAGATGTGTCTTAAACTGACGAACACCGCGTCCACTTGATGTTGGATCCATTGTGTGTGCCTTCTCAAATCCATGGAAGCGGCCTGATTGCACAAAATATATCAACCTAAGCGACGATAACATTTACTGAACTAAACAGGAACACGTGATGCAAAGAACTGTTAGATTCTATCCGTATAGGAAATAGAGATTAGGTGAAAATCTTCTTAATGAGAAATAAAAGTCTTGTTAAGATTCTGTCATATTTTCTGTCTTATTTGTTCTATGTATAACATTTATCAACCACACTTTCCACCCCCTTCTCCTTTATATTAAACATATGAAACTAACCCGGGATCACTACCATTCATTTAATTTGAAAATAATGAACGCTGAATTTTACAACTTGATATTATGCATAAAAAATTGAACTTTCTTTTTGTAATTAGGTCCAAACAGTATTTTAGTTGTGCCGGCCACCACCTATATTCAACATAATCACAATCACAAACACCAGGTATTACTATTCTAACAACATCAAGCAATGTGCTTTAATAATAATGAATTGCAAAATAATACAACAAAATCACATACAGAGGTACGCAACCCTAGGATTTTCCTTCTCAATCTCATTGGCGACACGAAAAATGGGAGCAATTGAGGCAAGGCACGAGGGCACACTGTCCAACGCCTCGTCCTCAGTCGGCAAGTCCAAAAGCCTCGTGGGCATTCTCGTCATTCGCCTCGATAACGACCTCGGCGGCTCCTGATTGAACTTCGTCCCGCTGGAGCTCGCCATTTCCGAAAAGCACCACCAATACTCAGCCTCTCAGTTTCAGGTCTCACTGATTTCGATGTAGCTTGTTTGCAAATGAAAGAGATCATCTTTTTAGGTATTTGTACAGAGATAGAGAGAGAGTATAGATACTTTGGGAGAGATGTGGGGCAAGGGCAAGGCAAAGCAAAGTGGGTTTGCTCTCAAAGCAAGAAAGGAATTGGTGGAGTTTTGTTTTGTTTGGTTTCAGACTCTTTTTGAGTGCTTTTGCTTTTTCATTTGATAAATTTTGATAAACAAATCCACAATCACCAGCGCTGAAGCGCTTTTTCTGTGTGGGTTTCCTTTTGGCTTCTTTAATCAGCTGAGCTTGCTTCCTACTGGAACTTAACAACAGGGCGCGAGCAAAGAAGAAAGAAGGTGGGCACCCCATGAGCCGAGGGTGACACGTGGAATATATACAATTTTTTTTTTTTTTTTTTTGAACGCTGTGTCATTAGTCATTTCTTGATTCCATTGTTTTGTCAGTCAATATAGTGTTATATAATTTGTAGTTAAGAGCATCTATAATGGGCTTCTTAAATCACCTTCTTAGATAAATTTTAGGAAGGCATTATAAAAATGCAATTCCAACCATGCTCCATATCCACCTCCTAAAATAGGACTCTCTATAATTTAATGAGTATTTCAAACCTTTATTTAATGCTAACTATTTTTTATTTTATTTTTTAATAGAGATGGACCAATCAAAAAAGAGTTATAGCATTTATGACTATCTAAATTAGGGAGTATGGTTGGAGTTGAAATTTTTTAGAGAGCTCCTAAAATAGCTTTCCTATATTTTTAGCTAAATTTTAACTAAGAAATAGAGAGCATCATAAGTGGATATTTTTGTTACAAAAAAGGTGGATATTTATTGATATTATACCATGTCGCTCTACCTGTATTATAACTGGGTGGACGCTCAACTTGAACAAGACCGTATAAATTTCATAAAAATTATAAAGTATAGATCAGATTTCTTCTATAATTGATACACCAAATTTAAAACATGGTTTTATCACTTCACGTACTTTTGTTCATGGAATGTTATACACCAAATTGATTTTGGTTGATAAATGCTTTTTGGTTTCTCTTCTTTTAAGCAACTAAGAATATGGGTTGAACCTTGGAACAGATCCGTAGGATGAGCTTTACCATTCAAGTGTCCTCCACAAGAATCGAACTTGTAATCTTTTTTAGATGGGTTTTCCCACCAAAAGGTGATATGACAAACTAAAGCAACGTTAAATCACAAAAGTTATTATCTTCACACAGCTACCCATCATAGATTCCCAAGTTTCTTGTTCTTCAGTTAATAACCTAATAATACACCAGATTTGCATGCGATTAATTCGTTCTGCTTCCTTCACCAATTCCCTGGCTGAATTCAGGATTTTTGAAACTGTGCAACTAAAAGAATGATATGTACATCAGTAAATAGTTAAAATATTTAATGAATCAAATCATGATCCAAAGTAAGGCACGCACCCGGAAGAGAGATAATTATCTGTTTGCAACACCCCCTGCATTTTTATATAATTTTTTTCCTGGTTTCTGTACCAATAATCTATAAAATTTTCACCATAACATCGTCAAAAACACCCTAAACCCTAACATAGTCAAAAACACCCAGTTGAGAGGCATCTACATGTAAAAGGATGTATACAGTGAGAATCCATTGGCAAAAGTGGATCGGCTAGCGGCATTTCTGGTGGAGAGGGTAGCAGCATTTCTGAAATGTAACTATGTACATGAACCAAATGCAAAAAGCGGCAGCATCCACATCCATGCATCTGCAGTATATGCTTGTATAGTTGAGAGGCATCCACATCCTCCATCTTCATTTGAATTTTACTGCGATCCATAAGTCTCAAATCATATGCATACGTGAGTCTGCATTTCCAACGTCTCTTCTTCTGAGACCAAAAGAAGTTTTAACTTCATAAGTTTTTCTTATATGGGACTTGCTCGTGATGCCTGCAATACAATCAAAAAGCCATGTCTCCTCTTGAAATGAACATAGTTTATAGCAAAAAGAGAAAGTAAAAAAACACAATTATGGAATTTGTCATTTCAGAAGTATGAAATAGAGTAGCAAAGGACCTGATTATTTGAACTCGTTACTTTAGCCCAACGACGAGGATGCTGTGTACCCACTGAAGCATGGCTGACAAAAGTAATTGTTCTTGATTGTTCCCTTTGGTGATTAGCGATTGGGGGTGGCAATTCTCTTACAATCCATAATACAGAAGCTGAGGGCACCAAAGATCCTGACAGAAGATAGAAGTGGTGGGAGAAAACTCATGATATTCAATATGTGATTAACAAAATGCAGTATCCTTCCCATTCATGATGGGGAAAATTGAAAACAACGCTCAGAAGGGAAGATAAAATTACCCATAAAATAGTACAGAATCAGAAAAACTAGTGCTTTTCCACCATATGTTTTTTTCAGACTCCACTGACAATATAGCTGGCAAAGAGCTTAAAGTGAGGTAAGCAAGAAAATACATAAGGTAAACTAAGGAATGAATTGCACAAAGAGTAGTAAGGTCTCTAGCCAATGACCGCTTACAGGAATATTTGTAAGAAGAGCTACCAATGCACTTGACGTAAAACATATAACAGAAGTAATTGCCAAACCAGCAACCTGTTTACAAAATTCCAAACTTACTAAATACAAACAGTGTGCCAGTTTAGGCAGAAATTATTACATAACATTTTAAGTACAGAAGTAGGTATTTTGCGTTCAAAGAAGAAATTAGTAAGTGCACTTTGAAGAATTTGAATAATTTTTTTATAAAATAGAAGAAATCATTTCTGTCAGTTTAATAATACCTTCCACATTTCGGATGAAGCTTTCTCAGACCGTACTTTCCTTAACTTACAAACTAGCAGGATGCCTGGAATTTTAGAAAGAAAGAGTGAAGTTAAATTGCAGACAGCACATGAAAGAATTCAGTTAAACTTTATAAAGCCAATATCACTTTTCTGACAACAAAACCCAGTTAACCTTGCAACATCCAATATACCAAAACATATGAAGAGTTTTTGGAACAAACAAGTCAATCTTAAAATCCTTAAACATAAAACTTGGATAACAGGTTGAGTCTTACCCCTAATACCATTCCACCATAATGTTAGTAAGTGTCACCCTACAAAAATGGTTACAGGGTAATAGTAGCGAAGCTAGAGGAAGAAGCTTAAGCCTATGCACTACCAAACAATGGAAATGATAATTCGATAGTATAAGATATGCCAAAACCACTTACTGGTCTTGAACAGAACAACATAAGAATAATAAATAAACAAAAAACAGGCCTTTAGTAATAAAAATAAATAAAGGGGGAAGAAAGTACAATTAAAATGGATGAAGAGTAATCATATCTAACTGAAGACCCTCAAGCTAAAGCACATATTACAATCAATACAACACTGCCCTAAATCAAGAAGAACAACTCTAAAAACATAAAAATGTTTTACTACGAAGCCAACGAGAATTTAAAATTTTAATCATCCTATCCACAACAAAGAAACTAGATTGACAAAACCCAAATGAAACTGGTAATAAGAAGATAAATGTGGCATGACCTCCCAAAATAAATAAATGCATAATAAGAAGTTGTCAGTGTTCTCACCATAGCAACCTAATGCTCCTCCTAATAAAAGAACTGTGAAAGCAAGAAAGTCTTCATATACCTGTACGATGGTTGCAGTTATTGGGTGATGATAATTGCCACATTTAAACGATAGATACATAAAGACACATCATTAAATGAACAATTAGAAAATATGATATGATGCAAACAAAATGTTCCAAATTTTAAAAAGGAAAACTAATGATTGGAATTGCAGGAAGTTTAAGCATACACAAAGTGCTGGTGTCTCACACATGTACTAGATGTCTAGAACAACCAAGATAAGACTAATCTTCTATACACAAATAAGGGGATGGAAAAACACTTATCTCAACTGACGTTTATCTACACATGTTAGTAACAAATCAAGTAGACGAGACCAGCAATTTCCTCAAAAAACACTGATATTGACCTAGACCTTAATAACCAATCAATCTTCATAAGGAAATAAAAATGCCAGCTGCAGTTCCAAATTCTCCTGTATGAATTATCAAAATGCCAGATATGGACTGAACTGTGTTTTCTTCTAATTCTTTAAAACCTAATTTCTCGGTAGATGTCATGCCTAGTATAAGTTACCATGTTGCAAAATTTTCCGAAAGACTGTACTCCATACCTGAGCCACTGCTGAAGAATCAATGGGATTCTTACCCACACCGATCCAGATTACCACAGCAAATGACATCATTAGAACAAGGACAAGCACAACAACCTAGTGGAGAAACGGATGAAATTAGATGACAAGAAGAACAAGTGATAACAATGTTTCAGTGAAAGTTACATGACTTTTATACGACAAATTAAGGGCAATAACAAAACGAGTCTATTTCTCATACCGCAATCACAAATTTTTGGTGACTTCCAACATGAATGCTTTGGAATGAACAACAAATTCGATGACCATCTTTGTTTGATGAATTAGGTTTATTCTTTGAATTTTCCAACAAGGCCTGCTGCATGCTATCGTCCTCGTCATCCTCCTCTTCATCATTTGCCTGATGGCAAAGGTCGACCCTACAAAGTCATTGTCCATAACAGCATTTGTATACCTTATAATTACAAATTACACTGCAACTGTACAAATTTCTATTGTGCAGTCTTTAGATATTGTAATTGAACATATAAAAATGAAATCATGATGCTATTTTCTATCTATTTTGCAACATGCTTCAGAGTGAAATTGGTATTTGAGTAATTGACTAACAGAAAAAAAAAAAACTTTTATTTTCTTTTTGTGTAATGTTAAATACAAACAATTATAAGTATTAATGTCAAGGAATTGTCACAATCGCAAGTACAAATATACAAAACTGACAATGGGTGTAGATGAAAAATGAATTGTATAAAAAAAACCTAGAAATTTCAAAAGGAAATCTAGCAAGTGCCAAGTAAACATTAATCATAGAAATAAAGCTAAAAAGAAAAAAATCAAAAGCATTTGAGAAAGATGGAATTGCATTATCAGAAGATGGGGAGGATAAAGTTCTTCAAATATCCTATTGGACACAGCAAACATAACCTTAACAAGATGCTTTCAACAGTTCAAAGGGTGAAAAGACATTGATCTAGGTAAGAGAAGTTGCTGTCATGCTTTTCAATCAACCAGACCATCTCTAAAATTTCAACATGAGAAAGCCTAATCTAGAATAAGAAAACTTACCAAAAGGATAGGAGTAGAAGAAAAGCTGCAAGAAACAGAATTTTGGGGTAGGCTGTAGCAATATTTTTCATCATTAAGATCACCAGTGACTACAAAGAAACTCTAGAAACAAACATTTGAAGCAGCTCGTCAATCAGCATAACTAAGTAAAATATACCCATTAGGATGAACCCGCAGACATTAGACCAGCAAAACCATTTCTTACAAGCTGCAACCAACGTAGATGTAAAATATATGAAGTAACCTGCCAAAAGAAGAAATTTGATGCTATAACTTGATGAAGTACATAATATGACCAGACAATCTTTTTTGAGCTTTTATAATTGCTTAAGAGTGTCTAAGAATTGGTAGAATGGAAAGAGGAAAAGATAGAAACTGTTTTGATGAGTTGAAGTGTTCAAACAGAAAATCAATGTAAACCTGCAGAAGACTTAGAAAATTTTATCAAAGAATATGATGACAATGAAAGACATAAGTAGTCAATGCTCATGCACTATTGTGTACATCAAGTTATACCATAAAGGACGTGTTTCCTTTTTATCAATGTAAATACACGGGAGAACTGATCTGATACAATTGGAACCCTTGTACACCCACTCTCTCAATACCCCAACTTTGCATTCTGGCTGACGAGCAGATATGAGTGATTTAAATTCAAATTATGGTTAGTAATGCTTATTATTGTACCCGTTCAGTCGCATGATTAAACCAATCATTTACGCTAAGCCAACCTGAAATTGTATGTAGCATATGACCACAAGGAAAACTGAAGACAATGACTTAATTCAAAAGGCTTCCATAGTATGGCATAAAAAGTCTTGTAGCCTTTGCAATAGAGAAGTACTTTAAAATTCCACTACCCAGTTTTACTCAAATTTGAGTCAGAACCATTATTTGACTTTTATAAAAGAAAATTGATGACATGAACCACAAATCCTCAGCCTTACCCAAGTTAGAAGAGCCAATCATGAGGTGGAGTACCTGCCAATTAGTAATCATTTCAGTCAAATGGTCCCTATAAATAGTGAATGTACATACAACTGAAATGAATATTATAGAACTTTTAAGAATTACAAACCATTTTTCACATTCAACAAACGTAGACAGAGCCTAAGCATATTACAATACAAATTGTAAGACTGATGGAATCAGCACAAAGTGGGGAGGGAGGATTCCATAGAATTTGCACATAATATATGACGTGAAGTTGCAAAAACCAATTTTCAAAACAGCATCCTTGCACATAAGTGCTCATAGCATTCCTACCACGTACAGTAGGAAGTACAAACATCGGACAAGAACACGCTAGCTCTGCCTTCAATTGCTAATAGAACAACTTATGATATTAAAAAAAATAAGCTTTAGAAGTAAGAGATGATGCCCCTTACTTTTTGGCGTGTCCATCCACTTTGTCCATTGCGCATGTGAATCCTGACCAGCTGGAAAAACAAAATGCTAGATGATTCCCAACTTAGGGAAAAGAGTAATTAAACAAGATAAGTACTTCAGAAATATTTAACCAACAAGATAACAATACAAACCAAAGATACCAGTATCTATATTGTAATTACAGTAACAAAATTTAGGCTCTTATACATGCGTAATTGGCTCTTATAAACTATTGGAGAAGTCGGAATACTTGCAAAGATAAGGTGATAGTGATAGTGGAAGTAATAAGAGAGAAATGGGGACACATTCAGGATGTTTACTAGAGTTATTTATTTTACCCTTATTTTAACTTATAATCTGATATAAGGGCAGCAATGCACAAGCATTTTCTATCTTAATGTGCCTAAATTAGAATTTCAAAGGATCAAACTAAAGGTGCGAAATTTATAACATTAATGCAATACCAATTGTAGAATTTCAATTTTTCCTCCACTTTCTTAGCAACCAAACACAGCATAAAACACAAATACCCCTTCAATCCAAATCAAAATTCATGGAATAAACATGCATTATCCTTCTCACGTTTAACACATCAGTCAAAATTGAAAATCCTCAAAATAGACCAACCCACATAATGAAATTCTTAACAGAGCTGAAAAGCAGATGACAGAGGAAAGGGTGTTCAAACAAACCTGAGAAAACGCAAATACAGCAAGAACGCCATTGAAGAAGGCTAAAGCTATGTTGAAGATAAGCAAGTCCAAAGGAAAGCAATCACTTTTTTCCACTAGGAGCTCCAAGAACATCATCTTCTTCTTCACCTTTCCAGAAAGCAGAAGGAAAAGAGAGACCTTTTTAGCTATTAACTCTCTCACTTTCTGTCTATCTAATCTTAGAAACAGAGAGGGATGAGGAAAACCAGCTTTGTAAGTATTTATATATATATATATATATATATATATATATATAGAAGG